GGCAGATTAATCACTCCTCCGCGCTAACGTCTCAACTTAATGCCCACGTACGCGCGCCTTTTTGCGCCGAGATTTAGCCGGCCGTTCAACGAGGTCGGCGATGTCGAGGTGCATCCGCGTACTCTCGGCAAAAATCTATTACGTCCGTATTCGACCTCCCAGGACGCGCGATGCTCGGAACAAACAATTCCCTGAAGTCCTGGGGGACGATCAAACCGAGCTCGGTGTTCCTCGAACGTCGAGAAGACGTTCGACATCCTTGCCGCGAGTGCACAAAGTGAGGCATAAAAACCGGAGTCCATGCAAAAACTCTTGCTCAAAATCTATTACGTCTTTAATCGACCTCCCAGGACGCGCAATGGTCGGAACAAACAATTCCCTGAAGTCCTGGGGGACGATCAAACCGAGCTCGGTGTTCCTCGAACGTCGAGAAGACGTTCGACATCCTTGCCGCGAGTGCACAAAGTGAGGCGTAAAAACCGGAGTTCATGCAAAAACGCTTGCTCAAAATCTATTACGTCCTCAATCGACCTCCCAGGACGCGCAATGGTCGGAACAAACAATTCCCTGGAGTCCTGGGGGACGATCAAACCGAGCTCGACGTTCGACATCCTTGTCGCGAGTACACAAAATGGGGCGTAAAAACGGGAGTCCATAAAAAACCGCTCGCTTATCGAATCCAGGATATTATCGAACGTGTAATTTATTTAGCACGATGTACAAATTGTACGGTATATAAGTGCAGGCGCTGAATTTCACGTGTCGCAATCAGAGCGCGTCGCGTTGGCGAATCGCGGCGAAAAAAAAAAAAAAAAGAAAAAAGGAAGGAAGAAGAGGCGAACTCGAGAGGTGGAGGAGTCCAGGGAGGCTCGACTGGTTCGACTGGTGGGGCTCGCATCCCCGTCTTGGTCGTGCAGAGCTCTTCCTTATCCTTCCCCGTGGTGAGGCCCCTCCATCGGACCCCAGTCCCACCAGGTGTCCGACTGGCGGGCCTCGCTGGCCACCTCGGCGTCCCACTTGCCAGGAGTTGCGTCGGGCAAGTCGTACAAGTCGTACAAGTCGTGGTCCCACTGGTCCACCCAGCTTCGGCCACATCCTCGTGTAAGTTCGGTCCCCGTGTGTGGTGCAGGTGCAGGTGCAGTGGCCGAGGACGTCGATTTCGTTCCTTTGTTCGCGCCGGCTCCTTTGTGCAGAAAGGAACTTCGTACTGTCCGTCGATCGAGGAGATCCTGTCAAGTCGGTGTCGTCGAGGCGGGACCCCATGACAGTGACACCGAGGAGCGACTCCCACTAGTGACAGCGAACTGTCACTCGAAGTCACCCGGGACTCGCGGTGTCATCGGTGAGCACGACACTGTCAAAGTAGCGACCGAGGAGTCGTTCAATTGGGAACTAGTAAAATCGATTTTCTTCTTTTAGGGCCGATTTACTTTGATCTTGTATGATGAGTAACGATGCGATTCGGTAGCAGGTGAAGTTTGGTCATACAGTTGTGATAGTATTTCGTATGTGCCATTAATTTCGTATGATACACAACAATGCGATTCGATAAGGAATGACGTTCGGCCTTAAAATTGTGGCAGTATCTCGGTGATTGTCAACAATTTCCAGCTGATTTCCACGTCATAAAAATCCATGATTTCCTTCTTTGAGAGCCATTAATTTCGTATGATAAACAACAATGCGATTCGATAAGGAATGACGTTCGTCCTTAAAATTGTGACAGTATCTCGGTGATTGTCAACAATTTCCAGCTGATTTCCACGTCATAAAAATCCATGATTTCCTTCTTCGAGAGTCATTAATTTCGTATGATAAACAACATTACAATTCGATAAGGAATGACGTTCGGCCTTAAAATTGTGACAGTATCTCCGCGATTGTCAACAATTTCCAGCTGATTTCCACGTCATAAAAATCCATGATTTCCTTCTTGAATCCATAATTTCCAGCTGACCACATGATTTCGAACATTGAAATCCATGATTTCCTGAGTGCAAACCCTTTCGACGATGACACCAGGATTCCTGTGGTAGGAGGAACCTAGAATGGCGGAAATGGATTCCCCATTTTCCTGTGCCGGGATGAGTCATAGATGCCAGGGGAATTCTCGATAATTTCTCGACAAACTAATGACAATGACGGGGTAAAAGATGCGCCCTGAAATAATTATCGAGGAGACCGTGCACTTCGTTATCAAGACAGCACTCCGTTATCAAGAATCCGAGCGGGCCGAATGCACCTGCATCGGCTTTCAATGTTTCAGAGGAGTAATTCGATCGTTTAATGCCGGACTCGGATCCACCTCGATTCCCTGGAATTGTTCCACTTATTTGTGTACAGGAAACCGACATTGTTTCCTCTTTAATGGGAGGGTTCTTCGAAGAGTTTGGGTTTCCGTGGAACGTCATTAAAATCGGCTCCGACTGGCCTACGGGGATGGCCGAGGATTCACTTTCAAATTCCGCCTATTTCTGTCAGTGATACCAACACGTGCAGTTGGTACGCACTGATAACCGCATTTACTTCCGCGTGGGACGATGCAGTTTTTTTTATACCGAAGAAGTGGCTTCCGGTTGCACGCTAATCGAGTCGCTCGACGTGAGAGCTTGTGTCAATAGCGGATATAAAAAAAAAATACACCCGGAATTAAATGTTTATGCGGAAACGTAATTAGCAAAACTTAATTACGGGAGGTGCAGTTCACGCGAGACAACGAGGAGAACCGTAAATTACGCGATGTATGGTTATTACCACGCGATTGCGTAAAATGGAATAAGCGGCGCAATGCGATCGTATGTTCAGAGTCTTCGATGAATTTTTGATAATTAATTTCTTCCATCTAGCCATGGTGAAATCGTCAATTATATTCGGGGGAATGTAATCTCAGGGTCAGACTGCTCGTTCTGGACCTAGGTCAACCGCTTGGGAATTTTTAGAAGAGGTCCAGGAATACAGCTCTCGAGGTCTTATTCCGAGAGACATTTATGGGTGCATAGAAACGTGCCTTAACGTGCCGTCCTATGTGATAACGCGTTATCACGGACGATTTCAAAAAATTGTCTCGAGAGGATCGCGACGTGCCTGGAAACGCAAGCAAGAGGTTGGCGACAATTTCGCCGTCTCTTTTTCGGCTTTTTTATATTTTTCATTTAAGACATACTTGTACGTGGTACGTTGTAGCATCGATAATTCACCGAGCATTGTTAATTAACGTGGGAGTTATTTTTCTTTTTGTTCGTAGGCGACAAATTGCTGATACGAAATTTCATTACGTGATAGGGTTCGTCGTGCGATCCCGATGCAATTCGCCACTTCAGCGGAATTTCATTGCGACAATGCAACCTCATTAGGCTAATCAACCCTGCGGCACGGTTGCAAATGCATTGTCGTTAGCTTTCGTCATTTCTTCTAATGGGGGTTCCTAAAAATCAGCTATTTAAGTGCATATTTCGAGTGGAGGGAAGATGAACGATTAGGTCGAGTTGCCGGGCCTCGGTGCACCGATGCCTCGTGTGTTTCATTTTAATCACTCGCAAATTGATGAAATGATCGAAAGTTAGGCCGGATGGTGAGGTCGATGTCACAAGACTCCTCGGAGCTGTGGTTAGGCGCACTTCGAAAAATTACATAACCGCGGTTTTCGAAACAACGACCTCAACGAAACCCTCTCTCGGTGCGCTCGAGCCAGCCCGGAGATTATGACATTTCCGTATGGATCGGAGCATAATGCTCGCATAACAACAGAAACTCCTTGGCAGCCATTGCGCACAAAGTCCTTGATCTAAGGAAATCATCGAAAAGTCATTCGGTCGATGATTAAAAATTCGCCCCAGTTTGGTTAATTGAAATTCAAGTTTTGCGCGAAAAGCGTAGAGATCGATGATCGATGATCGATGATCGATGATTCGCGACACCTGCACATGACACGAACGAAGTCTCTTATTCCGACGTCTCATTAACTTCGCAATTACTGAGAGAAATGTTCGGCCAAACGAGCCATAAAGCGTACCCGGTGTCGAAGTACGATCAAAATGATTAGATTAAATAATTGCGGTATTTTTAACGCTCAGGTAACGACCCCTCTGGTAATCTAAATGACAAAACGCTTAATCTTTAAATTACCATCGGTCCGTAGACAGGGGCACCGAGGAATAATTAGATTTGCATAGCTTAGGTTTTTTCTTTTCGCGAGTTTTGCGACACCGGTATCGGTAATTAGGAGAATTATGAACACTAGCCCGGAATGAGTGGGAGACTTTCAAGAGGATTGCGTAAGGAATAAATTACGGGACGTGGACCAATCGGCTCCGAAAAGTCCGAAAAAGTGGCCTTCCTTTCGGTCCGCTACCTTCTCTTCCAACCGATGAATAAGAAGAATATATCGGCTGTTTCTTTGCCCTCGACTTGGTTAATCGTCATCTCGACGCGTATCCCGATATTCGATTATCATCTCGCAATCTTCTTTAACGAGGTCTTATAAGTATATCGAGGCCGCAAACGGCGGCGTCAATGGCGCATTGCCGGCTCTTCCTATTTCTCCTCCCGGGATACTGTAAGCGGAACTTTCGATTTCAATTTTCCCGGACGCAGCAGAGTGACTTCGCGTTTATTGGCTCCGGTGAAATCTGTGCCGGTCTCTCGCACGACTTTTCCCGCTACGTAACGCCCCGGCGCCGATTACGACGCGGATGCGTGCTCCACCTCGGACGTTTAATCCTCGATTCACGTGCGTAATTGCGCTCGCACGTTTCCCCTGCCGTCTAGAACTATTCTACGCGATGGCAAGATTCCATTCCTTCGAGTCTCGAGGGAATTGAGCACCGGAAAGGGGTCGAAATTTGAAAACAAGGGCGTCGGCCAGGGGGACCAAAATGGCGGGCGGGCGTTTCAACTCCCATTCATGGTGTCATTCGCCGATTCGCCCATTTGTTACTTCTTAAACATGAACGAATGCGTTCCCATTATACATATACGCGATCGTTTTTTATTATTTCAAGGAAGTAACTATGGAGGCGCCTAGCGGCTCGGCGACGAGTCCGGTGACGTCGTTGGAACTGAAGGTGCGAAGATCGAATTTGAGGTCACAGCCATCGACGTTAGACACGAGGAGAAGGCAAGCCGTGTGCGTGAGGAGGGCCTTCAAGAAATACGGACCCAAGAGCAACCCAAACATCATTCTGGATGGACTCAACATGACAGTGCCGAAAGGCACCATGTGAGTAATCGTCCAAGACTCCTGCGATCCAGTAAACGTTCCCCAGATAATTTCATGCCACTTTTGCGTCATCCGCTCCTTAAAAGATCTCTTCTCCCATCAAAGACAAATTTCGGCTTCTTTTTTCCCCCCGTTTTTTTCCTTTCTCTTCGTGCCGCTTTTTTTTCTCTCTGGTCAAGGATGTATCGACACGGCCGCTCGTTCTTTTTTTCCCTCCTTCGACAGATGATACATGAGTACTCTCGTACGTAATTTCGGTCTCGCAATAGAAGTTCAAAGTCCTTCCGAAAAGAAATTAGCATGCGTAATTCCGTCCCAGGCCGAGTCCATGATGGATTTTTCGTCAATGGTCGATTTGAATAAATCCATTTCGAGTTTGGCCCCGGAGGCCACGCTAGAGTCAAGGATTTCTTAAGATTTTCCCACGATTTGGTGATCGGTCTTGCTTAATTGTCCTGAGGAGGTTTTTTTTCTCTCTTTTCCGTGCACCTTGTAGATATGGTCTCCTTGGAGCCAGTGGCTGTGGGAAGACCACGTTGCTGTCCTGCATCGTCGGAAGGAGGCGCCTGAATTCAGGGGAGATCTGGGTCCTGGGTGGCCGACCGGGATCCAAAGGATCAGGAGTCCCTGGACCTCGGGTCGGATACATGCCCCAGGAGATCGCCCTCTACGGGGAATTTTCCATCAGGGAGACCTTCATATACTTCGCATGGGTCGCCGGGATGACCACCGAACAGGCCGATGAGAAACTGGAATTTCTGATCAAAGTAATCGTCCTTCGGCGGATTCCCTCCTCTTCTTGCGGAGAACATGGGACCTGATTCTCGACTTATACGATGAACTTTCGCGTACGAAATTGATTGTTTCGTATATACACAATACAATGTACAAGTAATTCGCACAAACCCAATTCGAAGAGTCCTTAAGAGTTGGTCTTCCTACTCATATGCGAAATCTTTCATGCGAATCTATTCGTATGCGAAAAAATTGCTATGAATTTAAGAATCGGACCCCTGGGACCCGATTCCCGACTTATACGATCAACTTTCGCATATGAAATTGACAGTTTTCGATTTATACGATTAATTTTCGATTTATACGATTAATTTTCGCATACGAAATTGACAGTATCATACACGACTGTTAACAGTTGGTATTCTTGAGTGATCACCGCGGTTTCGTATTTGGACAATACCATGCGAATTACATCTCATGGGTCGTAGCATGCGAAAGAGATAATTTGCATACGAAAATAACAAAACTATTGGTTTTTATGAAGGGGTTTGAAGATCGATATAACCATATAGGGAATGACAGGAGGAAAGATAAAGATTTGCTAAAGCGAACATTTCATTGGTTCGGGCATTTCATAGAAAAGCGACGATGTGCTTCGTTGTCGCATACGATTGTCTTACTTGATACGATGGTCTTACTTGATATGATGGTCTTACTATTCATATGCGAAATCTTTCATGCGAATCTATTCGTATGCCAAAAAATCCCTATGAATTCGAGAATCGGGCCCCTGTCTGGATGGTCGGCTTGCAGTCTGGAAATCTTTTTCACGGTCGTTCTCGATTCCAGTTCTTGCAACTGCCCTCGGAAAATCGACTCGTGAAGAACCTCTCGGGAGGACAACAGAGGCGGGTCTCGTTCGCAGCTGCTCTCATCGCCGATCCAGAACTCCTGATCCTGGACGAGCCGACCGTAGGAGTCGATCCCGTCTTGAGGCAGAACATCTGGGATCATCTGGTCCAGCTGACGAAAGACGGAAACAAGACGATCATCATTACCACCCACTACATCGAGGAGACCACCCAGGCTGGGATCATCGGTCTGATGAGGGGTGGCAAGTTCCTTTCCGAGGAGTCCCCCAGGAAACTCATGGAGATGCACGGCCTGGAAACTCTCGAGGAGGTTTTCCTCAAGCTCAGCAAACGACAGAACATGGGCCTAAGGCGAAGGAGCAGCATCCTCAGCAGCGTTACCGGGCTGCCTCCTGAACACGTAAGAGCTCACTTCCCGGAGAATTTCCCAGATTTTCCAACTTTCTCATTTCTTTTTCCCACGTCTACGTCGAATCGTCCCGTAACTAGGTGTCGTAAAAAATCATCCCGGAGTATTGGGCAGCGCCTTGGGAATTTGATATCCCGTAGGACCTCGAATTAATTGTTCAAAGTGAACCGCCGCTCGAGGCTGTCCAGGGTTGCGCAATGATGTCTAGTGAAATAAAAGAGAAATGTGCAAGTACACTCACGGGAGATCGGATGGCCAAGTAGACGTAAGGGATCTCTTCCTAGAGAATTTCCCGGATTTTCCGATTTTCTTTTCTCTTTTCCCCACGTCTACGTCGAATCGTCCCGTACCTAGGTGTCGTAAAAAATCATCCCGGAGTATTGGGCAGCGCCTCGGGAATTTGATATCCCGTAGGACCTCGAATTAATTGTTCAAAGTGAACCGCCGCTCGAGGCCGTCCAGGGTTGCGCAATGATGTCTAGTGAAATAAAAGAGAAATGTGCAAGTACACTCACGGGAGATCGGATGGCCAAGTACAGGTACGAGCGGCGTTCTGATCCTCGGACTTTCACCGGGATGATTTTTCCCCGGACCAGCATGGACTGTAAAATCGAGCCCATGCCTCGATCGGTACTCTCAGAGATAATTCATCCATGCTTTATGACGCCTCTAGACTGCGCCTTGAAATTCCTGAAATATTATTCTCGGCTCTCGCAGGACGTCGAGGACGAAATGAGCGGGGAGTTCGGCGACAACGTCAGCATCTCTAGTCGAAGAAGAAGCATTGCCGTGACGGACGATAATAACGTGAGGCTAATGGACCATTATTATAGCCGGTATCAATTATTACACGACTGTAAAAGAAAATAATCCTGGTTCAGGTTCCCGAGCTGCCGCCGGAGGAAAAAGGCTCGTCGAGCTTCAAACCCCTCGACTCCAATCACATGAAGGCTCTCATTTGGAAGAACTTCTTGTGGATGTGGCGCAATGTCGGGTAAGACGGGAAAACAATTAAAGATCCACCTGGGAAATGAAATGAAATTTTCCCGTCTTTTCACTCCTATTCCTTTTCTTTCTTCCAGGGTGATGGCGTTCATCATCGGTCTCCCGGTCGTGCAGATCATTCTATTTTGCCTGTCCATTGGGAAGGATCCTAAAGGATTGAAATTGGCTATTGTTAACCAAGAGCTGCAGAACATCGCGATGCCCTGCGTACCTCCGATCGGATGCAATAATACCTTATTGAGCTGTCGGTACTTAAAACATCTTGCCACTAGAAATGTGGATTTGGTTCCGTACGGGAACGAGGACGATGCGATCCACGCCATTAAGAAAGGGAAAGCCTGGGCTACCTTGATGTTCTCCTCTAATTATTCCGAGTCTCTTGTCAATCGGCTGGAAATGGGAAAAGACGTCGACGAATGGAGCGTCTTGGCTGCCGACTTGAACGTCATAATGGATATGTCAAGTAAGCTTTGCGGATAATTATTATTTCTTTTTTTTTTCTTGGGAGATCATTCATCAGCGGTCACTCTCCAAGACAGGGATCAGCTGTTCGATCGAAACGGGAAGTGTTTAGCGAGTCGATGCGTCGAGGTATTGTTTTTTTTCTTCTTTTGAGGGTCGTAAATCGGCCGAAAAAAGCTTCATGTATTTAAGAAAAAAGAGTCTTGCCTGATAAAGCAATTTGTACGACGGTCCTTGGATTAATCTTTGGAGCGATATCGATGACTTATTGGATAATCACTGCCAAGTTGTAAATTATGCGGTAGATGGAGGTAAAGAAATTTAGTGCCTGGTAATGTAAAAAACGGGGGACTTCACTCCACAGATCAGCAGATCGGACAACTTCTTCAGCGAGACATCTTATTCTCATATCAAGACTTTGCGAAGGAGTACACGACTTCTTGCAACTACAGCGAGAAGTTCGCGAACATCCCGATGAACGTAAGATATTGTTATATGGCGATCATTTTTGGGGCTTTATGAGGATATGAAAGGGTCAGCCTATATATATATATCTGAGAGGTCATCCTCTGAATTGGGTGTACCGATTTGTTTGAAATTTTATCACGGGAATATGGAGGCCCTAAAGTAGGTCCTGAAACTCATGAAATTTCATTTTTCATAAAAAATGTAGTTACTTATCATGGACCAGAATCAACATGGCGTGGTCCGTGCACGTTTTCGATATTTCACGCTTCTTGGAGGCTTAGAATAAAAAACGAAGAGTTTCAGGACCTAGTTCGAACAATTTAGAATACCGTAGAAATGGGAAAATATGGAAAATACTTTCACCGACAATTGCAAGAGTCCTGTGGCTAGCACGTGGTGTTAGAGCAATAATTTAGTTGCAGCTAAACGTCACAGATGGCGACGTTGGTCCTAAACAGTCGTTAGAATAATGAATTCAATTTATCAAATGATGAATTTCAATTTGTCGACCTGGATTAAATATCTCAGCGCCTTTCGAATCATCTTAAACCGAATATATTCCTTTTCTTGTCTAGTTTGAAACACCAATTTATGGACCGCGGGAGCCCAATTTTACGGATTTCGCAGCACCAGGAGTAATTCTGACGTAAGTCTATCCGAGGTGCACGGTGACCGTGGCATTATTTACCGTGGTACTATTATTTCAGGATAATTTTCTTCCTTTCGGTGGCGTTGACATCGGGCGCCATGTTGCTGGAAAGGAACGAGGGTCTTCTAGAAAGAAGTCTTGTCTCCGGTAAGTGAAATAAAAGAGACTAGACTTGCAATGAAGTTTGATTTCCCTTGAATAGACTAAAAATGACTGAATAATTCTAGGCATAACCGGAATCGAGATTTTGCTGGGACATGTCACGACCCAATTCGTCGTCATGATAGGGCAGACGGTGATGGTCCTGATAGTCGGATTCGCCGTTTTCAAAATCACCTGCGAGGGTCAGATCGGCTGGGTGACCGTCCTGACAATTTTGACAGGACTCTGCGGAATGTGTTTCGGTAAATAAATAAGAGGAGGGAGAAAAAGGCCTCTTCAAGTATTCGTTAGAAATATTGATTCATCATTTTTGGTTCCCAGGATTCACCATAGCCTGCGCATGCGAGACAGAGAGGACCGCGACCTACTTGGCGATGGGGTCTTTCTTGCCCATCGTGATGCTTTGCGGGATAATTTGGCCAACCGAAGGGATGCATCCTGTCCTTAGATGGATATCCTACATCCTACCGTTGACCAAAAGCACCGAGTCCTTCCGAGCAATGATCGCGAGAGGCTGGCCCATTACGAAGCCGACGGTGTACGAGGGGTTCATCTCAATGTCTCTTTGGATCGTCATCTTCCTAACGATCGCGATATTGCTTATCAAATTTAAGAAGGGATAAGAGACCCCTCGTCTCTCCTATACTCTAAGAGTAGGACTGATTTAAAGTAATAGCCTACGAACTTTTCTGCGACGTCTCTCGACTCGCACCTTTGAGTTCCGGGCTTTTAGATAATTCACCTCTCATCCCCTCGATTATCTAAAGTCCAGGGAAAGAGCATTCCATGACAATAGGAATGGGAAAAATCGTCCTCGGGAGAAATATCCTCTTGCCGTTGGCATAACGCGAGTAATGTAGTTAATGTAATTATTCTAGGGTCCTTCGATTGACGATTTAGTGATTGTTCTTCTTGTTCTTTTTTTTTTCTCTTTTAACTTGCGCACCGGCGCTCTGCTCAGATCGATGTAATATATTTATTTCCCCCCTCTTTAGTAACTTCCCGCTATAGTTTTCATAAGTTAATCGTCCAAGCGCGATGATTTTATTGCACGGAGTGCACTTAACGATGTAATCGCGTAGTTGGATGGGGTACGAGCTAGTCGACCCGGCGGAAGTCATTTTTATAAATGATAACGTAACTGTCATGTCATTATTATATAACATCACGTAGCAGTCATGTTATCGGTAGGGGAAATGTCATTGGGTATTTTACTTGCATATCGGCCGTCATGAGAAATGCCCCCGTGTACAGTAACCGTCACTTCTCATACCGCCGATAGTTCATAGGAAATGAAGATGTTCATGCATGTTCTTTTTTGTTACCGTTCGATTCTTTTTTTATCCCCCTGAACGCGCGCCCGTTGTTAACGTTTTATACAAAGCCTCGCCGGCCTTCGTCCTATTTTACCCTAGGAGCACAGTAAACCGTGTAAGTAGCGACGGATTTCGCGCGAGGCTATTATAACCGAGGTTTGTAATAAAAGTATACGTGATATCGTCCGTATCGCAACACACACCGGGCGGTTTTTCTTCATCTTAACGCAACTCGCCCCTTTTCCATAATTTCCGTGATTACGTCTCATTATTCCGACGTAACGAACCTGACACTTGGCATGCCCGTTTTGCATGCAAACTAACTCCGGTTAGTTTCTCAGATGTCCTCTCCGTTAACAGCGCATCCCATTATCCCACCTATTTCCACCCAAAGTACTCAATTACGAACTCAACTTGACGAGTCGTAAACTCGAAAGGAAAAGAAATCCCGCTTGAGAGATTAACAGTTAATATCCGCCGAGCGCTTCGAACTTCCCGCCGTTGGGATCTTTCAAAATGGCCGCCGCGCGCTTGAACCGACCGCCCCGGGGGACTGTGGGTTCCGCGCTTTGCCCCCAGATGGCGGGCCGGCTGATTCTCATCGAGATGGAGGATTTCCCACCATCGCGGTACATAACAGTGGGTGCGACCGCGCGACAGCTGTGATCGTCGTCCTTGACGTCGGGGACCTTTTGCTCGAGGATGAGCGACGCGTCGCGACGGGACAAGAACCCGCTGCTCACCGCCGCGGGGCAAGACTTTCCCTTCTCGAATCTTTCGGAAAACTCCCTCCTAGTGCCCGTCACACCTGCGACGCCGGCGGTCCTTCGCGACGGTAAGTCGAGGCGCGTTGAGCGGTGACTCTGGACATCGTAACGCATAATTGCGTAATCATGAGACGTTGCGCCGCATCTCAGCTTGCGGACGGCCATTATGGGTTTTTTAAGCACTGTAGGCGCGAGGGAATATAGAACGACGAGTGGTTGTCTGGCATCTACAAGGTATGGCCGTGACACGTGGCGCCACTGTCACTTTCACGGGGTCCTCTGTTCCGCCGGTAAAGTAGGGCACTACGGTTCTCCTCTATATAGCGGTGCATGAATAACTACAACGTAGCCGATTTCGTTATTATAATTTCCAATCGCCTTGGATAATTATTTATACTCGTGTATAGTGAGAGAATGACTGTTAGGAAATTATGGATACTAAAAAATCGGAGTTACTCTGATAAAAGTGAGGTCGGCGGGCATTGGCAGAAGGGAGCTTGCACCTCTTTAGAGATATTTATAACGTATTATCGTAACATTGAATCTCGGGAACCTCGCTAAGTCTTTTTATAATTACTTCCTCGGTGTCATTTTCCTTTTTTTTTTCATTTTTATTGGGTATCGATCGTCTGACTTGTTTAAAAGTTAGTCCCTTCAGCCCGTGGGGACGACCTGGAGCCGTATCTGCGAGTGAAAGTTAAATCTAAGCTCTCTTTTCTGCGGGCACAGTATAAGACGATTAGGACTATTAAAATGATTAAAAGCAGGATTAGAAGGGCCCCCAGAACGATAGCAGCGACTTCTCCTTGCGAGAGGTTGTCCCATTCTGAAAGGAGAGTGCGCAGTTAATATCTCTATGTATGATTGTTGTTCCAGAGTTATTAGTCTTAGATAAGCGATTATTCTTGATCCTGACCGGTTACGTCTATTGTCCGAGAATGGTAGTTCCCCAACACATCCGAGGCCGTGATCGCCACACTGGTCGAGCAGCACGTTGCCAAATAGTAGAATGTCACATCGGATCTGGTGCCGCTGATGAAGTTAGTCAGCGGATAAATCCCATTTGGCGTCGAAACGACTCGCTTCAGTCCTGTCGATAAAACGAGGCCTTTAATAGCCGCGAGACGGGTGCCAAGTGGAGCGATAAAAATTGAACGATGTCCGGCAAAGTCATCGAGATCCATCTATTACGGAACCTTCTCGTGACGAACGAGCATTTGCAATTCTAACTGAAGTAAGAAGTACCGGAATCAGCGTCTCGGACCGTGACATCCACGCTCCAGAAACTCTTTGCGCATCGGTCAGTCCCCTGTCGTCCTGCGCAATTGTCGTTGAACGAGTAACTAATCGCGGGTTTTTCGGTGTCCGTAACCTGGGTAATCAGAGAGTGACAAAAGCGATGGTTTATGACAAGTAATTTTGCCTTCAGGCGAGGGAAATTACAAGGCAACCCTTAGACTCACCAAGGCCGTACTTTCTCCTTGGACGTAGAGATACGTCGTCTTCTGGGCTATCCCGATACCCTGGACGCGCAAAGTCAAGGTCCCATCGCCATTGGTTCCTCTGTCCCTGGGTCCATCGGGGACAAACAACTCCACGACGACATTGATGGTCTGGCCTGGATTGATCCACGCTCTGAAAAGTGCGGCAAAGTGGAGGAAGACGACACAAAGGACTGCATTCGACAACCCCAAGCATGGGAGCCCACAATGTCCACGAGCAACGTTGAGTCAGACGATCATAAGCTAAATGAGGCGATGAATTCGCCTCGGCTACGTCACAGGAGCAATAAACAGAAGCTAGAAAAATGACGATAAAGGCGCAATTATCGGAACGGAGGAATAACACCCAACGTCGTAGCTGGTGGACGTTGTGGACCGTCTACTCTCTGGATGGGCCACAATCTGCCAATATGGAAAACGTTACATTGGAGGTCTAACGTTGACCACGTTGAAGGAAGAGCTGGCTTGGAAGTAATGTCTGATGACTATCTCGTGGTTGTTGGTCACGTCAAACGCGAGCCTAGCTGGAGTCGCCGGCTTGACGATCAAGTTGGTGTTTGCGTTGACGTCGACCAGGAGCGACCTTCTTCTGGTGGCATCGAAGATGCCATCCATGGTGTTCAGGTCTTCCAGTTCCGACGAGACCCTCTCCGTCTCCTGGATCTCGATCCTCTGGAAGGTGCCATCGGCAGGATCGATGCCATCCCGAGGATCGGCAAGTGGTTCCCAGTGGCTGGAGTTAACCGGACCGACCGCTCGGCGTAGAGACGAGGATTTTGGAAGATTCCTGAAGAACTCCAGGGAAGGTCCTCGGTCTCCATCGGCAACGTCGACCAGGTCTACGTCCTCGCTCGAAGAGATCCCAGCGACCGTGACTCCGTTACCCGAACGGCCTTGATCTTCTGCCCTCCTCTGCAGGCCTGAGGACGTTAAGAAAGGTCGGGACTGTAGCTTTCGAATTTTCTAGCCAGTAGAGAGCAAGATAATGAAGAACCGTAGAGGCGATTGATGCCGGGGTCTTGGAACCGGCCACGAGGCTCCCCGTTGTCTCTATCTATCCGACGACATCGTTCCGGATCACCGCCGGAATGACGCAGTTCCTTTTGGTTTCGAGTCTACGCATAGATGCACGGGGAAAAATAGGAGCGAAAAGGAAATAAAAACGGGAGAGCATACAAGAGGCAGATCTCGATGTGGTGTCGGGAAATGACGCGCGTCGTTTGTGGTTGCACAACCGAGGGGTCCACGAGCCAAGAGTGCGACCACTTGCGCCGGAGCAGTGCTCGGTCGTTCGCCGCCGCGCTAAGAGGCACGACCAGGAACCGGAGAACCCGGAGAAAGCCGTTATAAAGTGCACCCACGAGGGACGATTACTCTGCAACACCCACGAGGGGTGAGTATTCCCCGGAACCAAAACCGACGACACATCCCGAGATCAACTGGGCCGCTTGGTCAGCGAAACACCGCTGGATCCCATCGCCCTAAAACATTTAAACCCAAACTCTCTAAACGTGGACCCGCGTTGAATCATTCTTATCCTTTGACGAAGCTATACCTATTGACGAAGACTTTACCCTGACTGATAACGTCTTCTGCGAGGAAATCTTTAATCCTATCTCAGGTCGGGAATCATCGCCGATCGTCGCCTTTAAACAACGAAGTATCTAACGCTTCCGTTATACAAATCACATTAATGGCAGTCGTTGAATCTCCGCAAAAGCTTCTAAGGGTAGTCGCAGGTTTCGGCGGCGCTAGGGTCGCTGCAACTGCGCCACTGCTGCGTCCTAACCTAACCTAACCTAACCTAGCTTTTGTCTCCGAAGTGCGCGGATCGCAGGCGGTCGACGCATCCTCGCAATCCGTTCCTGCGACCTCGCTAAGCCCTTTTAGGGTCCTGGTAAGAGAACCAGGGTGCAGGGGAAATCCCTAGCGAGAAGTGGAGGGTTTCTCACCCGCGGAACTCCCTCTGGACGTGCGCAAGAGGGCTTCGCAACGCGGAATCGATATCGCGGGAAGACAAAGAGTCGGTGCGTCACCAGCAGAAAGAGATGTGGAGAGGATCCACGTGCTCCCACGCGTGTCGTAACCCTCGCGTCATTTTGACAGATCGGCAACGTGCGCTTCGAGAGGTCGTTTGAATCTTCTTTTTGCGGTTTTTGACAAAACGAGGCGGAAGCGAGGCGCACCTTACTGCGCGTTAAATGGAAGGTTACGTCACTGGAGTTTGGACTTTTTCCTTTTGAATGGACCCGGGGACTCCGGAGGATCTCCGGAGGGTTTTGGGTAGGTCCTACACTCTGGTGGCCGTTCTTGCGATCGGAGTGCATCGAGCTCTTGCATTCCGGTCTATTTTCGAGCTCTTCCGTCGACGTCACGGCCGGACGTCGACGTAACATGTAAACAGGGCTGACACTCGCGGCCTTCGGCGCGGAATCGCCGGGGTCATCGATGCACTCGCGTGTGCACTTCTTCTCGGGGTCGGCCGTTCCGCCGCGGAATAATCGCGATTCCTTATCGGCGCTGCTGCGTGACCCCACAGACTCGGGTGCCACTTATGAGAGCAAACGTCGAGGTTTGCTTATCCGTGACATCATCGGGGACCACACTAGTGGAGGACGCGAAGAAGAGCTCATCCTCGTCGTGGGTCGAGTTCGCTGCAATCTCGCGGAATAGTTTGTTGCTAAATAAATGCGCAAGACTGCGTTATGACGGGTTATTGTTTTCATATGTCCTATCGAGATCGCCGCAATCTCGCGGAATAGTTTGTTGCAAAATGAAGACGTGCCACTGGGTTATGGCGTATTTTCGCGTGTCGAATAAGGGGGTCATAGGGATGGCAGCTGGTCTATAATTTTACGCGGGATCGGTATTATTAGAACGTGGGCACCTATTGTTGGAATTCTCCCAGTGGTCGGCAAATTGGACCTCGAAGGTCTGTACATATTCGAGAGGGGACGGGAATTTCATGTTTCGGCAGGACTCACCATCTAGAGGAGTCGGCCCTGATTGATCCCGCATTTCCTGGGTTTTCTTTATGGCGGTGTCCGATGCACCTTGCACTCCTCCTGGTGGCGTTCCGTCCTCCATAGCTCTCCGTTCACGGTCACCATTTTTTATACCAACGTTGGACTGCACTAACAACGCGCAAGACACTGAACACATTAATGGTACCAAGGGGAACAATCGCAGGACCATCTCGCGGGTTCTGGTTCTTGAAAAATTTGTCCAGAGGGGGATTCTAAGGTGTCTTTTTATACCTTCGGGTCTGACGAGGATCTGACCAGGTTCTCCAGCCGATACGTCGTGCATGCGTCCAAAGTAAATCTGGGTGTAGACGAATTGCGCAATTGCGCTAAGTCAGACTCAGCTAGAGGTGTTAGGTGGTATAAAAAGGGACAGGAAGTGTAAGACCCGTGAGGCCCGAAGAGAGACAATATTCCAGTCCTTATCGGTAGTTATCTTCGGGCCCGGTGACATCCTGTCCAATATTGACGATGTGTTTCCCCGATGACGATTCATCGGGAATCTGGGACACTCGCGTAGTCACCACATAAATCGTCCAACACCCTTCTTTGGGACTTATGGTGCAACTTCTTCCAAGATTTGTTAACATCATGGGGTTCGCTTATCAGAGAAGTACGGGACGTACGAGAGTATGCGAAAGTGGCCTCTGATAACGTCGCTTATCGACGTAGTTTCTCGCTATCTTTCGAGGTTGGTCCATGAAAGTGTCTGAAACTCTGATAAGTGGACATCTGGATCCGGAGGATCATTCGTCGATTAAGAAATATGCGTTTTAATCGTTGATTGTTGATGCGAGATGTTTATTCCTGATTTATCGAGCCTAGACATGGACTCGTTAATCATTCGGGCAGCTCCTTGCATTTCATTTTGACGAGTTTGACGTTTCTCTTGATGGTTGGCGTTCACTTGTTTGCTGGAATTTTGCAGACGAGGAGAGATCTGCCAGACAGGAAGCCTTCGGTCCCACGTCGTCCCCCGGACGGCAGAGGTTGGGGGCACCGCCTCCAGGGGCAGCCGACTCCTGCACGTTGCCGGAGATTGGAGGAGCCTCCAAGCCAGGCTACTTCAGCTCCCTGCTTTCGTCTTTGCCGAGCCTGCCGCTTTCTTCCATCACAGGTGGAGAAGCCACGACAAACCCTGCCCCTAACTCGCCCCCCGAGGTTCCTCAGCTGGAGAGACCACCGCATCCTGCTGCCTTCTCGGTGCCCTTCTCGCCAGTGCCATCCTCGCAAACTGGACCAACTGGACCAACTGGACCAAGGGTCCCACCATCTTCGGCTCCGCCTCTGCAGCCACCTGTAGCAGGTTCGTCCTGATCGATTCTTGCCAGCTTTAATTCGGTGATTAGGGAACTGTGTCTTGATTTCTCATTTGGGTCTTGTTAACAGGTGCTCCAGCATCCTATCGTTTGAGCAATCAGCGGCGGTTGAGGTATGCGCCGCCTCCAGATCTGACCTCCAGCTCCGCGAAACAGCCTTCTCCGGCTCCGGTGGTACCAACGGCTGCCGTGGTATCGGCACCTCCGACTTTGCTGAATCCTAATGTCGCGACAGAGCCCCCGGAGACCTGGAGCAGGGATCTAAGTGGTCCAAGTAGTCAAACTTCGCAGCGGCATCAGCGAAACTCCCTTCCCTACGGGGATCCTTCGGTAGGATCCTCGGCTCCCAAGGGATTTGCTGCCGCTCGTATTCCGCCAGCTTTGGGAGGGCTTCCTCCTGGTTCCGGTTCTGGAACTTGTCCCGCCGATTTCTTCAAACCCGCAGACACCGCCGCTTCTGTCGGGGATTCGGAGAGCACAAGGCAGGCTTTCGGGTGTTTTCAACCTGTAGATCGCCAGACAACGACGGTAACCACTTGTGGAGCTGCGGATTTAGCTGGGACTGGAGAGCTACCGAGGGAAACTTCCTCGAGTTTGGTCTTCGAGGTCAACCGGTCGACGAGTCAGGGGAACCCTCCGCCGTCTTGTGTAGGAGCACCGTTTGGGCTAGGTGCGGTTGTTAGGAGTTCGCCAAGTCCCGCGAAACCTCTACAAGAGACTGCCGTCGAAGACAAGTTCACCGATGACCTAGCCGAGGTTGATCTCACTCAGACTGAGCCTGCGTCTCCTCCGGCGGAGGAGTTTAATACAGGACCCACTGGGTTGGAAGGGGCGAGCTTGACCGTGGACATTTTTGCCAACTTGGTCACCAAGGCCACGAAGAACGAGGGTGCACCTGCTGAGAATCTCTTGGAGCCTTCTAGGGACAAGTCCTCGGCGAAGAGTCCTGGTGACTACATTGGAAAACCAACTGGAAGCAGCGAACTGTCCAACTATTTCGGTCCTGCAGCTCAGGATAGCACGGGTTCAACGTTTTATGACCCAAAGTCTGAGGAACATCAACTGCAGGCACCAGCCACGTCGCTCCATCAGAACGCGAAGTCCCAGCAAGAATCGATCCCGCCGTTGACTTCTTTCCAGTCACCTCTGCAAGCACAGTCGCCATTCTTGCAGCAACAACCGCCGCCCTTGTCGTCGCATTATCAGTCACAGCCTCGGCAACAATCGGCGCAGTTCCCAAGAACATTGGCAACGTCTTCGGCAAGCTCCCCAAGTCTTGTGCCAAGTCTCAGGGAATTATCGGGTCGCTCGTACCCCTCGCAAACTGCCGTACCGCAGGTGCCTCAGTCCTTGTGGGAACCTTCCCAAGGACAAGCAGCAACGCCGACTTTTTATGACCCTTCCAAGTTTTCCGCCGGACTTTCAGAAGTTTTCTACCCTCACAGTGGGTTTCCTCAAGGGGTCTCTGGTGGCGGAAATCGCCCGTTCGTGCAGACCACCCCTGGCATCGCGTCCAGCTTAGGCCAGGGATTTCCCTCTGGGCCTAAATTTTCTAGCGGCATTTCCTCATCGTCCAACCTCATGGCAGCGATGATTCCAGAGTCTACAGGGACTGCGACTTTGAGTCCTGTCCAGATGTCCGTCAACCCGCTGATGGGGCGCTCTTCGCCCGACATAGTGCCGCCGAATTTGCAGAACTTGGTAAGAAAGCGAGTACCTGATGATGTTGTAAATAATATAGGATAGTAGATACAGCGAGTAATTCCTGATAATATCTCGATAGATACTGGTCACCAGCTAATCTTCTACAATTCTAGGCTTCCGGTCCCTCCGATCGCCGCACGCAGTACAGACCGGTCTATCATCATTGGTTCTACCGGAAGGAGGTCGAAAACAAATCGCTTTGGCAACCCTTCTCGATGAACGACAGCATGAATCTGGAGACCGTTCATAATTCCACGGACATCACCCCGGAAACTAAGGTTGCGACTGATGGAGGTCGCTACGACGTCGATGTTCTCAGGAGACAAAGGATTCCTGTCTATTGGACAGGGCAGCCTCAGGATGTCAGGAGGTGTTCCTGGTTCAGCAAGGGCTTGTCGGAGTCTCGCTATGTTCCCTACGAGGAGAACGTTGCTGCCAGGCTGGAGGAGGAATACAGACTCGGGTGTCTGAGCAACAATTGGAATCGAAAGGTCGACCTGGCCAACGGAGAGTACATCACCTTTCATGGTGCAGGGGTGCAGATGCACTACTTGAACCCCGCCACTCCGGAGTTGGCCTCTTCCTGGGGCAATGGAACCGTAAGTCTCTTATGCATCATGGAAGATCAGATGAAAAGTAAAACTCATCTCCAAGATGCCGAAGATTGAAGGATTCTCGCTTCCACAGAGCACAACGGGAAAGCCGCGGGTCGTTAGGAGGGGCGTTAGTGAGTTCAACATCGAGGAAGGAGAACCGGAGAAGGTTGATCACTTGCTGTTCCTCGTTCATGGAATCGGTAGTGTCTGCGACCTGAAGTTCAGAACCGTCGAAGAAGTCGGTAGGTCTCTGGATTTTAACATTGGCGTTTGTATCCGGTCTCCTAACCTTTCGACTTTTGGCTTTCAGTGGACGAGTTTAGGAGTATATCGCTGCAACTCGTGCAGTCCCATTACCGTACCGCAAGCGAGCGCAAAGCCGTCAACAGGATCGAGGTCCTTCCGATTTCCTGGCACGCGACCTTGCACTCCGAAGACACGGGGATAGACAATAAGCTGAAAGCTATCACCTTGGAGAGCATCCCGAAATTGCGGCACTTCACCAACGACACGCTGCTCGATATTCTATTTTACACTAGCCCGGTTTACTGCCAAACGATAGTCAATACAGTAGGGGGCGAGATGAACCGTCTGTACTCTCTGTTCAAGGAGAGGAACTCGGATTTCGAGGGTGGTGTCTATTTAGGGGGCCATTCTCTGGGTAGTCTAATTTTGTTCGACCTCCTGTGTCACCAGAAGCCTCCTAAAGAGGATCCCGTTTATGAGACGGTTGAAGGGGACGGCACCGTCGAGAAGGTAAGGCCAAGGATGATAAAGAGCTCTGTATTCAAATCAAACTAGAGGCACTTATTAAATTCCACGGTTGTCCTGCAGGTCGAAGGCGAGAACGGGTCGAGCCTGAAACCCTCTCGACCGGCCCTGAAGAGGCGGCTGAGTAAAAAGATCAGCTACGTCATGGGCGGTGCAGGGACCGGGCAGCCTTTCATCAGCTATCCTCAGCTGAGTTTTTACCCGAAGGCCTTCTTCGCCCTCGGCAGTCCCATAGGGATGTTCGTAACAGTCCGAGGCATCGACAACTTGGGGGAGGATTTTGCCCTGCCGACTTGTCCAGCGTTTTTCAACATCTTCCACCCCTTCGACCCGGTGGCGTATCGGATCGAATCTCTTATCAACACGGAAGCGCATAAGTACAGACCCATGTTGATTCCCCATCACAAGGGCAGAAAACGAATGCATCTAGGTTCGTACTAGGCCTTCGAAAATTTAAGTTTCAGGGTGACTCATTAATTCTTTTCTTATTAATCATTTCTGCAGAGTTGAAGGAAACCATGGCCAGGGTCGGAGCGGATCTTAAGCAGAAGCTGTTGGACTCCGTCAGGAGTACATGGAATTCGGTGTACCAGCTGGCCATGTTCCACAGGCCGGACAATCAGGCTCTAGAGCTAGAGATCGACAAGGTGGTCGAAGAACAACTTCAAAAGGCACCCAGCGAGCTTGATCAGCTAGTCGTCGACGATGGCGGGGCCGACTTGAACGTCGGCAAGTTGAACGGTGGACGCAGAGTCGACTACGTTCTTCAAGAAGCTCCCTTCGAGTACATCAACGAGTACATATTCGCGCTTACTAGTCACGTCTGCTACTGGTTGGTATTCCTGAATCCTACCAGGTCGAGGAATAAGTTGCCGCCTTTCTAATTATGTTGCGTTACTTTAAAAATCAAGGACCAAACGAGGACCATCGCTTTCCTAGGACTCGGAATGTATGTTTCTCCTGTTATTTTAGGGAATCCGAGGACACGATGCTCATGATGCTGAAGGAGATCTACGGGTCTACGGGGATCCAGACGGACGCCCAGCTTCCCCAACAGACCATGACGATCGAGAGGGTGTCACCTTCGACCTCGTTGTCTGGAGCATCTTTGCCGAGTCCGGCAGAACCCGGGACCAGCGATCCACCTGCAGACATTCCTACCACCGAAGCCGCGCCTCCACCGCTTCCTGGACCACCGCCGACCTCCGGTTTCGTCAGGAAATCGTGATCCAGGCTGTTGCCAGGGTACCTTCGACTTTGACGTTAATAGAGGAAGCACTGGGGAGCAGTCAGCGAGCGTGGGGAAATTCGGAAGATCCTTCGTCTAGGGGTTTGATCCCTCTGGCGATGAGTCAATCGCGAGGTGGAGGGAAACAAACGAGAGGATGGACGAAGACCGCGATTCCTTCCGATTAAATAGGAAAGGGAATCAGGAATATCTACCGTCTTGCGACGACGACGCCAACGACGATTCGAAAGATACGTTCCAAGAGACAGCGAGAAGATGGAAATATGTGCCTGAGGAATACGACGCAACCTGAAACCACCGCTCGTCCGTTGCGTCTTCGCAAAGGGCGCGAGTATTTTCAATAAATCGATGTATTCTTTTAGGATCCGTTTTCATGACCTCCCGATCCGGGGATTGGATAACGAAATTGCGACGCCACGCTTTGACGACAATAGCTCCTCGGACTTTCATCCCAGGCCGGCACTTCCTTCCGCAACAGGAAGTGTTTGCACCCTGACGTGCCGCACTTGCTACGGATCATTTCATGCAGTCATATAGGAACTGTCTGTCGACTCCAGTTTCGTATCCAATCTCTAGGCTAGTCCAGTTTTCCCGAAACCCGGAAGAGGTCCCACGACTCCTCTTAGCCTCTCTGGCGGGCACTTCCGGTGCGCTATTTTCTTGCCCAGGAGGACATCATGCCGCGGCATCATCTTATCGCGGCGTTCCTTCGGCTCCTCGAAGCGGCCACGGGGAAAGGGGAGGGAAAATGTAAGGGAACGCTTCGGCACATGCACGGCTATCACGGAACGCTAATTAATTGCGGTGCAAGCCCGCGGGGACCTCGGTGCATTTGCATTTTGCGTGCGGGCCCTCGTAAAACTGCGAGCCCTGTCAGCCTGGGCGAAATCCACGATGATTAATCCCTTCGGAAAACTTACTTTTTCGCCATGGGCCGCGGTTTTCGAGCCGCTCGCGGCCGCCGCACGCGAATCGCCGGCTTGGCACGGGGCCCGGGGATTCTTTTAAAAGACAAAAGTCGCATTTTACTTCCCTACCTCCCCACGGGTCACGAGATATACGGATGATATCGGTGTCACGCGAGTACTTGGGGGGGCGAAACTTGGCGCAGCCCACGGCAGATACTTCTTCCCGAATTTGAATACCCGCGAAGAGGGTGCTCACCAGCGTCTCGAAGAGAAACGAGCCCCGGCGAAAAAACGAGGTCTTACGGCTAGCCCTCTGCAATTAGACCCGGCTTTTTTATCGCACATCCGAGACATCATTTCCAGCCGGTCTGCGCCTCGCGTGAGATTTCCCGAAAGTGCCTCTTTGTTCGCTTTTTTTTCTTTTTTTTTTTCTCAACGCCGACCTACCCCAACGCCCGACTTCTCGATGTGGCGCCGACGGTTTCCGAGCTCCGGATCGGCTCGACGCTTGGCCGTCGTCCTTGGCCGACGTCTCGACGCTCTATAGGGCGCCTTCGATCACGGCCAAGAGGCATAGTGGCGTATTTAAATAAAATTACTTTATGTAACACAGGCCAGTCGGTGCGCCGCGGCGGTACGAGTGGCCAGCATGTGCGAGGAAGTCGCCCCGAAGACCCTGTGAGTACCGAGCTAAGGAGACCCGCGACTTCCTCCTCGCTCAGGCCGTCCTGACCGACGGAGACCTCTGCCGGTTTTCAGGTACGTCGGCAACCTGGACCACGACGTCTCCGAGGACCTCCTCTGTGCCCTCTTCTCGCAGATCGGCAATGTCAGGGGCTGTAAACTCGTCAGAGAGGTAAGGCCGACCTTTTGCCTCCGGGCCGCGACTTGGTATCACCTCAGGGTCTTATCAGCGTCCTCGATGAGAGCCGCTTCCACGTGGATCCGCGGCACACCCTCTCACTGGTGCACTGTTAAAAGAAATTCATAAAGTTCATTCACTTTCAGCACATAAGGTTGCAATAAAAGGTTATAAATTTAATGTCTTAATAAGGATGCACTGTTAAAAGAAATTCATAAAGTTCATTCACTTTTAGTACATAAGGTTGCAATAAAAGTTATAAATTTCATGTCCTAATAATGACGCACTGTTAAAAGAAATTCATAAAGTTCATACACTTTTAGTACATAAGGTTGCAGTTAAAGTTATAAATTTCATGTCTTAACAGTGAATTACTATACATTTATTATTAAATTCTAAGTAAATCTACAATTTTATAACACCGTGTTGTAATTTCGTGAACATCCGGAGAGAAATTATAAATTTCATACTCGAAAGGCATTTGGTACGCATTGTTTGGAAATTATTTTCGACGAGATTTTTTATTTTTGATGATCGTGTACATAAGTTTATCTTTAAAGAAATTTTTCAAGAAGAATGGTGGTACTAGAGGAGGAAGCATCGTAGCGACATCCTTGAGTCCGAGAAATATTAAAATAATATTTTAAGAAATTCTTACAATTAATAGAAAACTCCGGTAGCATTATGTACAACGTACCTGCTGCTTTTCCATGAGTACCGAGTACGATACCAGAAAAAACGTTTAATATCAAGTACCGATCGACACAAATTTACGACATACATTATAAGTTTATTACATATATGTACTAAATTTATAATATATGTTACATACCTCATTTGAAAATATGTTATAAAATTAGTACACCATGTCCAACGAAGATGTTATAAAATTATAATATATTTTTTTAACAATGTGGCGGGTTAAAAAAGGCCTAACTTTGGCTGGCCGACGTCGTCACGTGAGGCGTCTTTCCTCGTTTAGACTTCGGCCGAGATTCTCATCGGCCGTGCACTTGGCGGGTCCTCGAGGTGCCCTCCTTTGTACCGACGGCGCTGTTAATTTTGCCCCAATTATGGCAATTATATTTACAATTAGTCTCCTTTTTGCCCCTCGCCCTCTCGTCCGGACGTCGGCAAAATATCGGCGTATCGATCCGGTTGGAAATTGATCGGGCATCTGCGCGACGTTGTTAGGAGTGGCGTATCGATATTTTACGCATTCTCCGTAAGCGGCACCGCACGCGGAGTGTTTGCGTTTATTAGCCATAAACTCGAGGGTGGCGGCGGCGGCGGTCTTAGGGGGCGAAAAGGCCGGAGCACTTTCGGAAAAATGGCGGAAACGCCGGAACAAAGGGCCGCCATTTTACAGGACATTCCGGCTAAGGGCCCGGAGGAAGTCATTTGCGGGGCTTTTTTCAGAGGGAATTATGCGGTAACGACTGACGATGAAATGATCGAACCGTGAAGGACCCTTACGAGAGGATGAGGATTTTTTACACAATATCCGCATGATATCGTTGCTGGATATCAGCGATATCGGTGTCAAGGGTCAGACTCCCATTTGGAGATGGTTGGACCACCTCGCAGCTCCTTCCGACGTCTCCTTCGGTATGGTATCGTTGCTGGATATCAGCGATATCGGTGCCAAGGGTCAAACTTCCAATTTGGGACGGTTGGACCACGTCGCAAGTACTTCCGACGTCTTCTTCGACTTGGTTCCTCCCCTGGGGAACGATAGAGAGACTCCAGGCGTTCCTGATGATGATCCTCTGATGAAATGATCGAACCGAAAAGGATCCTTACGAGAGGATGAGGATTTTTTCCATAATATCCGCATGGTATCGGTGCTGGATATCAGCGATATCGGTGTCAAGGGTCAGACTCCCATTTGGAGATGGTTGGACTACCTCGCAGCTCCTTCCGACGTCTCCTTCGACTTGATTCTTCCTCTGGGGATCGGTGGAGGGGCTCCAGGCGTTCCTGATGATGATCCTCCGATGAAATGATCGAACCAAAAAGGATCCTTACGAGAGGATGAGGATTTTTTCCACAATATCCGCATGATATCGTTGCTGGATATCAGCGATATCGGTGTCAAGGGTCAGACTCCCAATTCGAGACGGTTGGACCACCTCGCAAGTCCTTCCGACGTCTCCTTCGACTTGGTTCCTCCCCTGGGGAACGGCGGAGGGGCTCCAGGCGTTCCTGGAACGGCTGGATTTTCACCGAGGACAATTATAGGGTAATTAATGTTGGCAAGCGTGCATACCCACCGTCCCGAAGGGAGACACCCGGAGTTTATTACAAAGATATACGAGCTCGGTGCGTAGCCGTCCTGGTGCGCCGCCCACGCACGTGGAATCTGCGTAACTACGCGGGTAGCTACTCCGCAGGATACATGCGAGCTGTTGCTCCGGATGATGCACGATTCGCGGGTTATGCCGATCGCGGAATATCTGTCCAGCTTCCCTCGAGATGATGGATGAACCCCGGGTGAAATTTCACCCTTAAACGCTGTCTTCCTCCAAGACCTGGAATCATATAGACATTCATGTATACGTATGTATATATCTGTATCTCCTTGGCATGTGTAAAGGAGAAAAATTGATTTAATCTCGAAGAAGCTCGATGAGGGGTCCATCGGTTGGCAGTGTTTCGCCATAGGTCGGGCGTTTATTCGGCGCCGTTTAACGCCCCAAGTTGGCGAATTTCCGGATCGGCAGGGAGGCATGTAAACTATTTCCCCGGATGATGTGCACCCTCTGAAGTATGTCGATCATCCGGGAAGCGCGATACGTCGTCGCCGGGGGTGAGTTACGTTTGTCCCGGGTTGTCCCGAGGGAACCGCGGCCGCGTTCCTGGCCGGCCCTGGATCGCGCCGCGAGGTCCGGGCGCAATAAAACGATAAATCAGGCCAACGGAAAAATAAGGGGGTAAAATAGAAAAGGCTTGTAGAGTAGATTTGGAGCCGGGCCAGGGAGTAGGGGAGGGCGCCCTCCGCCTCCGCCCTCTGCTGGGCTCCTTTACCGCCCTTGGCTTCGAGAACGATCCCCCCTTGCCCCTTCCAGGATCGGCCGCCACTTCGATAGTTTTCCGATTCACCTCATAAATCCCGAGACCGCAAATAGTTCATAAATTAGGGCGGTTCGAACGCCGACGACCCGCGCGCCGCGCACCTTGGCAGCCCTCCGAAACACCCTGCAAATTCCGGATTTCTTTCCAAGATATAAGTGATACGCGGAAATATCCTTAATAAAAATTGTTCGCAAGGTTACGACGAGGGACTTTTCCCTGAAACGTTTTTGTATAGGGTGTATCGTTAACGGGGGATTCGGGGGGCAAAGGCTCGAGCGCCGATGACCCGCGCCGCGCACAGTTTGGCAGACCTCCGGAACGTCCAACAAATTCTGTATTTCCTCCAAAAATATAAGTGATACGCGGAAATATCCTTTACAAAAATTGTTCACAAGGGTATGACGAGGGACTTTTACTTGAAACGTTTTTCTACAGGATGTATCGTTAACGGGGGATTCGGGGGGGCAAGGGACGCGGCTGCTATGGGGCACGAGTTAGGGCGTTCGAATGGAATTA